ACTTGGTTTCGATGGCTTCTCTCCAACCTTGCAATAATGTATTTGAACCCTTCCATAATCTTGTGGGGTTGTTCAGGTGTCAAATAGAAAAATTTTGGGTTGAAGTAGTAACCTAAAAAATATATAGGTAGAAAAATGTCATTTACAATTTCATAAAAAAATGATTTAAACTGAAACATTGTAATGATATAAATATATATTTACCAGCATAATGAATTGGACGTCCAAATTTGGTATTCCACCTCCTTTCTATAATCTCGATCACTTTGCTAGCAAAATTACACTTCTCCCCATTAGCTGATTTCGCCCTCTCAATACCTTCATAAATGATACCCATGGTAGCTTTCTTGTCAGCATCCACCATTCTTAACACCGTGACCAAAGGGGCAGTGGCCTCTACAACACTGGAACATCGAGACCAGAACTGCCTATTTGAGACTATGTTGTCCACTTTTATACCAGTACTGAATTTCGAGAGGCGGTCATTTAACCACTCTTCAGAAGTAAACAATCTCTTTAATGCACCTTCAGATTCTCGAATGGAGTCCACAGCTAAGTAATCGGTCGCAAAGCGGGTTATGACAGGCCTGATTATCTCTTTTTTCTTAGAGTGTTCTCTAAACAGAAATAAAATTTTAGAGTGGTTGTATATAAATCTCGACACCAACCTTGCTTCCTGTAGAGTCTCCTTCACAATTTTGATCTCATCGATCTCCTCTAACATAAGATCGATGCTGTGTGCAGTACACGGTGTCCATACTAGATGCTTCTTCTTATCCATCAACTTGCTGCCCGCAGAAACACATGCACGCGCATTGTCCGTAATAAACTAGACCACATGCTTATCTCGCACCTACTCCACTATCTGATCATAGAGTCGAGAAGTTTCCAAAAGGAGTTTAAAAACTCCTTTTTGCTAACTTTATTCAATCAACCATCACTCATGAGAGTAATGCATGTCCTTGGCCAACTCTGTTTATATTCTTCAATCCACTTTTTAACTTCCTCCACCTCTTCATTTAATATTGGCCCACTGAGCTCATATGCCGTCGGGGGTTTTACCCCGAGCCCGACTCTCTGGATTGCACTGACCATAGGTGGAAAATATGGGCTATTGGCTGCATCGAAGGGAATCTCTTTATCGTAGAACCATTTACCAACATATCTCCCTAACATGTTTCTTGTACCTTTAACCATACCTTTTAAGATCATCTGTTGTGACTTAGGCTTTGAGAGAAATGGGTCTTTACGATCATGACCTGCAATACTGGCACTCCTAGGTAACCTAGAAACAATTTCTTCAACAACTGATTATCCTTGATACATATTGCCACCAACCCCTCCATACATATTTGAGTTGGGGCCGCCATACATGCTCGAGCTGGGCCCGCCATGCATATCTGAGCTAGGCCCACCATGCATATTTGAGCTAGGCCCACCATGCATGTCTGAGCTAGACCCACAGGGCATTCTAAACCCATGTTTCCTCTGATATTGTTCATGTAAACTCAATCTTGTGGCCATGTCCAGCTCATTATTATATTGCTCTTCTAGGTCATTATTATATTGCTCTTTTGTATCATTCTTGCTTGATGGTGTATATAAACTAGCTATCTTCTTATTCATCCTATGTTTGGCAATTTTTTTATGTTTGTTAGCATAAAGAATTGCCGCCATCTGTTTTTTTACATTACTAGGGACACTAGTGCATGCAAAAACTTCTTCCTTAACCCCTACCAAGTGTTGCTTGAACTTATGTACCCCACTACTTATCACTCTTTAACAGTAATTACAAATAATTTTGTCTTTCTTGTTGGGATCAAGTCTAACCCCATGTTGCCATGTAGGGTCTTCTGCAGATCTTGACATGATTCAACTGTTTTAAGCTGTAAAAAGTATAAAATTAACCTGACAATTCAAAAAGAAAAATAATCACCATGTGTAGTGATAATATGTTGCGGTAGTTCATGTAGTCATATTTGTTGTTATTTGTTATTGCAAAATACCTTTATTGACAATAATATTTTCATACATATCAATTACAAACATTCAGAATAATATAATACAAAATGCAAGCTCCAAACATGCTTACAACTCAATTATCAAGAACATACATTTTTTGCATTAAAAAATTAATAATAAAAACAATTCTTCACAGAGCCAGCTAACATCAGTCATTCCAACTAAAAAATCCATAAACAACAGATAAAAAAAATATAGTTTTGCATTAAAAATAAAATAACATGCATTTTTTTGCATAAATAATCCATCAACATACAGTTTTTTCAACAAAAACTTTAACAATAAAAATTTAAAATATAGTTTAATACCTCATGATAATTAAAACCTTGTCACGATTTTCACATCTTTTCGGAAAATCATCATTTTTCAAAAAATTCGATCATGAAAAAAAAAAAAAAGTAGAGCAAACTCAAACAATAAAAATTAAAAATTGGGTTTAATACATCATGATAATCAAAACCTTATCACGATTTTCACATCTTTTCGAAAAATCATCATTTTTCAAAAAATTCGATCATGGATAAAAAGAAATAAAAAAAAAGTACAGCAAATTTTCAAAAAATTCGATCATGGATTACAAAAAAAAATTCGATCATGGATTAAAAAAAAAATTAACAAATTTTCAAAAAGTTCGATCATGGAATTAAAAAAAAAAATACAAATTTTCAAAAAATTTGAATCATGGATTATAAA